ATTTCATGTAGGTGTATGATTACCTACTTTCTTTATATGGAATACGGCTTTGTTGTTTCCAGTCTGGGCAGCTGTTTCAGCATCTGAGGCTAGGCTGTGAATAAAGTTCTGTTTATTTTTTCGTGCACTTGACTTCACCCTTTAGTCCAAAATGGTGTATTTTTGTTTGTGGGTTTCATACGTCTTTTGTAGAAAGGAGCGTTAGTTTTGCTTGTTTTCTTTCTTGTATCTTCATCCAGGTGTTATCGCTTAGTCACTTCTTCTTCTGTCTTTGTCCATCACCTACTGTGTTGGTTGCAGCATTTTCTAATGTGTTTTTCAGAAGGTCCCAATTCTCTTCTATGTTATTCTGAATATTCACATTGTTCATTGTACTTTCTTTGGGAGAACCTGCGGGTGTACTATAATGTAGATACTTCAAACAGGAGTTACTGCTGCTGCTGCTGCGGGGGTGTGTGTGTGTGTTCCTGTTGACCCAGTCCTGCACCCTGTGTATTTGCTCGACTGAGATCACCTCGGTCAATCGTTTCTCAGTAGTGCTGATAGTATTGACTGGAGCTGCCCCCCAAGGTGGTGTCCTGATGCCTGACAGGCTAGATGATGTCAGTGCCCTTTGGGAGCCAGTGAACAACAAGAAAGCCAGAATATATGTGGACTTAGTGGTGTGGGGATCTGGCGGTCATTCTACACTCAGAGGAAAGCCTATACGGACACAGTATATAACCTAAGTGCTGCTGGTATCATCAGCACTAAGACTCCTCGCAGGCTGCTGAAGATGAGGACAGAATGCTTATGAAAATATTCCGAGTGCTGTAGGGTCGGTTCTGAACTTATGGCATGCCTAATTTTATTTAAGTGAATTGTAAAAATAAAATGTGTCAACAGACATCCCCAGTAAAGAAAGGAATCAATACATCTAATATTAATTCTTATGGGCCAACTGGTTCCAATTCTCGGTTGGGAAAAACTTTTAAGAACGACCCTGATAATAAAATGGTGTTTGAAATTGGTGAAAATTTGTTAAGAATTGTATGTCTGTTGTTAACATGCGAATGTCTTTATATGAAACTCCAAAAATGGGAAAATAATACAATAAAAGTTATTATATAAACTATTATATGCTGACTAATTCTTCTGTTTACCTGCTGGAGGCTCAGAGGTGGCAAGACGGACGTTTAATCAGAATGCTACTGGCATTATTAGTATTGGAACTCTTCGCTGGCTGCTGAAGATGGGGACGGAGCGCTTATGCTTATGGGAATGCCCTGAGTGCTGTGATGTTGGTTCTTGAATCAAATCAAAATCAATTCAAATCTGTTTACCTACTAGTGTAATGGTCAACGACCGCCTCCGAATATTTTTCTCTGACTGCCCTGCACTGGTTCAGGGCAGGCTAATAATCTTCATTTACGGCTCAAGTTTCTCCTGATATGGAGAGTATGCAAAGAATTAATTGTTCACAGAGTAGACAAAGGCGTTTACAGTCTAGCTCTTTCTGGACGTTTCTGTCTATGTAGAATAGATGAGTCTCGCACATCGCGACCTAGCTGTACGCTCCTTAAATATAACTCAGTCGTTACACTACACTACCACCTCCCCCCATGGCAGTTGTCTTGCTGTGATGATGGTTGTCGACAAATTTAACCAAACCGAATGTTCAGTATGAGTATGTTACCCTAGTGAAAGTTGATAACGGGCGCTATTTGTCCACTCTCGGTTTCTCTGCGCTGAACGCGTCCGGCTAGTAATCTTTTGACAACCCATGTTTCTTGTGTTTGCAAAGACTGAAAAGTAGTTACAGTTCACAGAGCTTGCTAATTACTTTGTGGTTATGATAATACGTGTGACATGTTGTGACCAAGTAGTGCTACGTCCTCTGCATCATGCGACCTGCCTGTATTTTCCATCATTAGTCTCACTGGGTTCAGCGTGCACATCTTTCGCAAACAAAATTAAAAAAAAAAAAAAACTATATTCACCTTGTATTGAGAGTAATAGTTGGTACGTCTTTGCTTTCAAACGATCTTTATAGCGATCGATCGGGTCTGTAAATATCTAACTGTTATAACAATTGAAATAACTTCCGAAGCCTCTTCCTAGCGGTCGACCGGATCTCTGTATATCTAGCCGTTATGTTGTTTAACCTTTTGTTCGCCCGGCTCTCTAGCGTAGTTAGCTAAACCGGATTGCGTAGTGACCGGGTGACGAACTCCTTGTGATCCAGGTTCACGCCCGAGGGTAGACAGAAAAACCACATTTCTTCCAGATTTACGGTAATTATCATGGAATCTAGGCCGAAAGGTTGCGATATCCATAATACCGAGCCTAAGGTTAACAACTCATGGCTTCTGGATAAAAAAAAAAAACTAGTTTTTCTATTGTGCAACTGTTTGTTCAACTATTTAATTATTAAATTATCTGTTATATTGTCTAATTATTCAGCCATGTAAGGGTCAATGACCACCTCAGGGTATGGCACAAGACTGTACTGGGAGGGGTATACAGTACAGGGTACATCCAATAGTCGACGGGGGGGGGGGGGGGGGGGGCAATAGGTGGTTCGTTTTGCGTCCGAAGCCTCTTCTTAGCCGTCGACTGGGTCTGTATGTATCTAATCGGTTGTTCAACTAACTTTTCAATGTTGAATGTTGATTCGACATTATTCAGTGCATAAATATTCAGCTATTTAACTGTTTCTGGCCGCCCCTGGCTAAAGGAGGAATTACAGATAGTATACTTCTTCGATTAGTATAACCTTCAATGGGCACAGGCAACAAGGGAAAGGTGATGATGATAGATAGGGCCCACCCACACTAGTCGACAAGAAACAGCATAACGATCTCACCCCCCCCCCCCCCAGCCCACAATCTTATGGGGTGCTCCTAAAACAACAGGGGTCCACGAGGCGCGGAACATCCTAAATAGAAGACTCAAAATTTAAAAAAGAGAAGAATAACAATACAGATCAGAAGACAAAATGCCCCCCCCCCCCCCCCCCCGCTCATAATTAGTGAAAGCGGAAGGAGAAGAAGAGGGTGAAGAAAACCGACCAGAAGTCAAAAATGCACCCCCTCTCCTACCCCAATAATTTTTGAAAATTGGAGGAGACGGGTAGAAGAAAACGGACCATAAGTTAAAAGTGCACCCCTTCGCTACCGAAATAACTTTTGAAAGTTGGAGAAGGGTAGAAGAAAACGGACCAGAAGTCATATTTGCGCTGCCCTGCCTGGCCGCCTGCTGCTGGCCGGGAGCCGGTAGTGATGTCCCCTGATCTGTAACATGTCGCGATCTTTGTACCCGTCTCACTCCCCGACTTGGCAATCTTCATATTCTGATCATTGAAGCCGCACCTGTTCCTTGGTATGGTCACTTGCCCGCATTACTCGACAGACTACTGCCTGTATGTTTCCTAATATGTAACATGCCTTTATGCTGACATCTTGGAAACTGCCTCCAATCCTTGGCCTGCCTGCAGCCCCGACCCACTGGCTTCAGCTGTGATCAGACTGGCTTCAGCTGTGATCAGACCACTGGCCCGGTGTTTCCAAAACTGGTTCTTGTCAGTGGTAAGTTGTTGACACATTGTCACTCACTCTCAGCCAACGATGGAGGAACAATACATTATCTATTTAGTATCATTGAATGTTATGTTCACATTGTTATCATTTTATACTCTCGGGTTGTCGCAGATCTGACCAACTTTGTATAAATGTATATTGTGGAATATCAAAATAAAATCGTGACAAATTTGAGGTTTTTAGCACATTTCATACTTGGGCTGTCATCCGAATAACGGGCACAAAAGATGGCGGCCGCAAAATATCCTTACGAGCCTCAGTCACGTGTCCATTGCACACTTCCAGCGACTTATTGCGGTTTTCCGGCGACTACCGCCACTGCTACGAGTCCCGCAGCAAAGCTGCAGGAGATGCGGAAGCTGCTGCTTGTGAGTCCTAGCCATCTAGTTAAGCCCCAATCCACACCGCTCACGTGGCCTGGGGGACTCTTGGTGGTGGCGGTAGTCGCCGGAAAACCACAAATTAAGTCGCCGGAAGTGCGCAGTTGACACATAGTTGAGGCTCGTAAGGATATTTTGCGGCCGCCATCTTTTGTGTCCGTTATTCAGAGTATAGCCCAGACTTGTAATATAAAGACTAGAAATATAGGCTATCTTCCGAATAACGGTCCCAAATTATCGAGGCAGAAAATATACCCTAACAGGGCCTGAGTCATGTGTCAATGGCGAACTTCCGGGGACTATACCGCCACCGCAGAATTGCGAACTTTCTGCGACTTCCGCTACCGCAGAGAGTATCCCCCTGCTGGTCTCCCCCACGCCGCGTAAGCAATTGACACTGCAGGACTGCAGTTGCCCTCGTTCCCAGGTATCTATTTTCTGCCTCAATAATTTAGTGACCGTATTCGGAAGATTAGACTGAGCCCTGTTAATATAACTTATAGGGCCGTTATTGAAAATAGATACTTATGAAAAATACCAAATTATGACAGCAAATAGAATACAAGTTCGGCATATTATTGTTGAGGAGGGAGAGATATGAACCCTTTTTCCCCTACATACCTCACAGCCATCATGTACCAGTCAGCTACCTAAGTTCAGTGTTGTCCCTTTCTCCTGTCCTTAAAATGCAAAAGGTGCACAGTATTATTGGCTATGTTTTAATGAGTTGTTTCTATTTGCTAAATGATGCAGGGGTAATGAAATCAGCTTCTCTCATCCTCAGATACATGTACTCTCCAAGCAAGAAGAAGACTGCCTTAGATAAAAGCTTAGCTTGAGTCTACTAAACCACTGAGAAAGCAAGCAGATCACAAGAATGAGTACCAGTTGGGTGCTTGCCTCTCACTGCATGGTCCTCTAGTGGCATCAACAGAGAGCATCATTAACAAACAGAGCACCATTAACAAACAGAAGACAACATAGAGCACCATCAACAGAAAGAGAGAGACAGAGAAAGAGCACTGTCGACAGAGAGAGCACAATGAAGGTGTATCAGAAAGTCATGCTGGGCTCAGCTGGTGCTGTAGGTACTGGAGCTGTGGCACTCCAGACAATGTTCCCCTGGCTCAAGTATGATCTTCAACTGATCAGAGCCGGGAAGAAGATGATCAAGTTTAGGGATGACATGCTGAAATCCCTACTAATTGATAAATTTGAGAAGATGGTGCAAGAGTCTCCCAGGAAAACGTTTATTATTTTTGATGACAACCATTACACATACGAGTATGTGGATCAGATGGCCTGCAGGGTGGCCAACATTGCCAAGTCTTGGGGTCTGGGACCTCGTGACTGTGTTGCTATGATGATTCAGAACGAGCCTGCTTTCATATGGACATTTTTGGGTTAGTATAATCTTTCTTGAAACTAATATTTTTAGTGTAGAATTGTCTGACGTTTGTATCCAGGTCATGTTCACTAAACTGCCTATTGATGCCACAGCAGTTTGTGGAGAGTGAATGACTAAATCAAGAATTAACATTCCCACACTCAAGACATTCCCACACGTGCTCTGTCTCCTTCCAGAATAGCCAACCAAGAATTGATATGCTAATATTACCAATTGCAACCTGACTAAAAGTTCACCTGTGATTTTCCCTTAGTCTGGTAATCTGGTAATCTGGTAATCCTAGTTTCAGCTTCATAGCAAACGGGTCACCCCACAGTTGCTCCGCTCCTGTGCCAATGAAAAACAAACGCAGCTCACAGTGTCACGCCATGCACTCAACTCAGAAGCTGGGCGACGAAACTACATCCTTCCAGTCTACAAATGGAGAAAACATGCAACGGCCACCGTCTGGCAGAGAAAAAAACATTTGCCACTGCTTAAAAAAAAAAAGGTGGCCATTTTGACCGGAAGCATTATATGAGGGTTAATAAACGGTCACCCCAGCAGTACCCTCATTATTGGCACGAAGGAGACACCTTGAACTTGGGTTTCGGACTGCCGACTTCCTACTAAGATGTTATTTTATGTTTTGTTATCACAATTGATGTCACTGCACATTGGGCATACCCATGCGTGCTCAGTTCTCCGAAGCAGCAGCCACTCCAAAGTACTTCTACTAATTGTTCCCATAAGAAGCTGGTTATATTGTCTCCTTTCTCGGCCTCGAATACGGCTAAAGCTCTAGAAGCAGCGGCTATTTCCATTGTCATGCTTGACGTGGTCTGGTAAGCGCCGCTGTCCTCATGTATTGTTTTCCCCTTTCTTTGCGCTGTGTATGCCCATGCTGATCTTGATCCGCGCTTCACGGATCCATCTGTGTAGATGATGGTATCTTCTGGGTCTGAATGCTGATCTATCAGTTCCCTTACTTCGGTGTCTACGGCCGCAGGAATTTAATCCCTTCAGTACCTTCCGAGTGTGATGACAACCTTAGAGATGCCATGCATGTCTACTGGTGTATTCGTCCATTCTTTTCCGTGACTGATCACGTCTAGGTCACATACCTGCTGGATTAAGTCCTCAGCCTTTGTCATCCAAGAGCGGTCTCTTTTGAGACGCGTTCCTTTTGTGTCGTGTATAGCTTTGTGTAATGGGTGGTTAACGTCTGCCGATACCCTCATGTAAGCCTTGACCTTTGCCACTTTGTATCTGCTAGTCATAGTCGGCAGACCCAGGATATAACACATGGCGTTGCAGGAGGTGTCTTTTGTGCAGCCGAGTATGAGTCTCATGGCCTCATTCTGTACTCAGTCCAGTCTTTCTAGCTGGGTTTTGCTGACAGTGAGGAGGCCAAGACCATAGTCAATGACGCTAAGCACAAGCCCTTGATAGAGAAGGAAAAGTAGACGTTCAATATCAGCTGCTGCTAGCACCTTGAGTGCTGTCAAACCTTTCCTGGCTCTAAGTATGACGTTGTCTATGTGGCATTTGTATGACAAGCATCTGTCAAATGTCATGCCCAGGTATTTCATCGTGTCCGTTCTCTCAATGTCCACACCACAGATGCTTACGACCGGCGTTGGTGTACTAACGATGTGGGTATTCAGAGAGAACCATGTTAAGGAGGCTTTGGACGGGTTCACCTGAGCTCTTGATTCCTGGCACCACTCACTAAGTCTGTCTAGTTCGTGTTGTAGTGTGGTTGTAATTTTCTGCCTGTTTTTACCTCGACGGTAAACAAGGATATCATCTGCATATGACATTGTTCTTCCTAGGCCTACGTGTTGTGCACTCGTGACTCTTGCTGTGTACCCATTGAAGAGCACAGGCGACAATGGTGATCCCTGGGGCAGACCCATTAGGACGCGTTGAGGTTCGGATGCCCATTCACCACATCGAAGCGACACTGTTCTTTCAAATAGCGCTGCTGCGATCCAGTTGACCAAATTTGTTTCTATCTGCATATCCAACAGCAGTCTGATGAGCATGTTGTATGGGACGCTGTTGTACGCATCTTCTAAGTCAATAGCGGCTGCAGCCATTTCTATTCCCTCCTGGAAACCCTCATATGTGTCGTAGGCAAATACTGCAGCATTGCACCACATATCTCTTCCTGGTCGGTACCCACCTAGTGTAGCGGGGAATAGGCCACCCGACTTCAATATTTGGGTTAACGTTCTGGCAACGATTTTTTCCATGAGTTTTCCTACAGTGTTCTGGAGTGTGATGATTCTGTAGCCATTTATTCTCGTGTGGTCTTTTCCTGGCTTAGGAACCGGTCTGAGGTAGCTGTGGAGCCAGTCATCAGGAATAATGCCAGTTTTCATGGTGTTGTTAAAAATCGTGGATAGTTCATCAATATCTGTCGCCTCGAGACTTTTGAAGTCGCTGTGTCTAATGCCATCAGGCCCTGGAGCTGTGTCCAGACAGGTCTTCAGTGTTGCTTTGATGCAGTCCGTTGAGATGTATACTGTATCATTGACTTCCTCCATTTCAGCCATCTGGATATCATGTAAACTCTGTCTCATCTGCTCCCTCTCTTCCCTATCTTTCTTTTCCGTCTGCAGGAGAAATCTGTGCAGGATAGCCTCGCCTTTGTCTTTATCCGATTGTAACACCACCCCGTTGTCCATCTTTAGCTCGAGCATAACAGAGGTTTGTTTGCTTCCATTCATCTTTTGGTGGAGCCGCCATAATTTTTTTAGTGATTTTTCATAACCTATTTCTTCGCAAAAATGTTCCCAAATTGTGTGCTTAGACTCCTTTGCGAGTTGTTTAAAATGTTCAGTGAGTCTGTCTTTTTTGTGTTTAATGTCTTGTTTCTGCGTCTCAGTAAAATTCGAAGACTTTCTGCATTTCTCCCAGTCTTTAGTGGCACCTCGTTTCTCTGTCCAGGCTTCTGCGACTTCAGGTGTCCACCACAGGGGCTGTTGAAAGATAGCTTTCTTCTTTCCCGGTGTTCTGCGTGACCTGTCTCGCAGACGCCCAATTACATTAGGTTGATGTGCAGCATACTGGAAAGTAGTAGCTGGTCTCTGATACCTTGTGCGGATTGTTTGTTTGACCAGAATCCAACATGGAAGGTGGTCCATGATGTCCCAGTAGGCCCCACTGGCAGAGTGCACTCATACTGGGAGAGACCAGCGTGAGATCAAGGGCACTGTCAGTATCACCTTCTCTGTCGGGGATTCTGGTGGGTCTGCCATCATTCAAGCAGATTAAATCCGTGTCTGTTAGTGCTTCCTCTAATGCCTCGCCCTGTTTATTGACCGTCGGATTGCCCCATAGACAACCTTTGGCGTTGAAGTCCCCACACATAATGATGTCGGTGGTTATCTGCTCGCACATGTCACTTAATATTGTCCACTTTTCTTTGTCAACTTTATCATTACAGGCATAGATGTTGATTAGAGTGAAAGGTTTATTCTACCTTTACGGCCTGGACCTGAATGTCGCTGTTGTTCCATGCACTCGTGTCTACAACTGAGGATGTTATTCCGCGCCTGACCAGGATTGCTTGGCCTAGGTGTTTGCTGTTGTAGTACGTTTGGAAGCCTGAGACATTCAGAGCTTCTTCTGTATTCAGCCTGGTCTCCTGAAGTGCGATTACATCGGCATCATATATCAGTTTCTCTAACTGCAGTTCCAGCAAAGAATGCGGAGATTTCCCTTGCTAAGGCGTTCTGATTTAGATTGGTCTTTGCGTGCACCAGCACGTCTATTGCGCCGTTTTCTATCATGTTGTCGTCTTCTCCTTCTGTACCTTGTAGATGCTGCTGCATCGGATCTCAGCACAGACGCACGAAATCCCTTAGTGTTGACACTAGTCCAGACACTCTACCAAACCCCGCTGAATTAGTCTGTTAGTGTATGGATGCTTGGTCTGTTCTGATGCACTGTTCACTTGAGCGCAGAAAGCCTTCACAACGTCTGCTTTGTCATAAAGTAGCTTACTACCCAGAAGATGCCTGCTCATTGCCCCGCACACCTGAAAGTTATGGACAGAAAATCCATGATTGCTCCTGACCTGAGTCTTATCAAGCGGTGCAAGCCACTACACATAGGATGGCAGTTTCTGTTTTCTGAAGCATGCTCTGTGAATCCGTTACAATTACCACACATAGGGCTATTTTGCTCTCTAGCCATCAGAAAGCTGCCATTACTGCCTCCACCTCCATTCTCATACTGGATGATGGGACATTATATGCAAGGCTCTCTGTTTTTCAAACAGCATCCATTCACTTTTTCTGCCTTTCAGTATAACTCCATGTTTGTATATAATGAAGTCTCCTGGGAATGAATTTTCATTGATCAGCTCTTGCAGCATGTAGAAAAGAACAGGTGTAGTTGTCAGCCGACGTACCAGTATCTAGCAGCGTGTAGTAAAGAACAATATGTAGTTGTCAGCTGACATATCAGTATCTAGCAGCGTGTAGTAAAGAACAATATGTAGTTATCAGCTGACGTACCAGTATCTTGTAGCTTGTAGTAAAGAACAATATGTAGTTGTCAGCTGACGTACCAGTATCTAGCAGCGTGTAGTAAAGAACAATATTTAGTTGTCAGCTGACGTACCAGTATCTCGCAGCGTGTAGTAAAGAACAATATGTAGTTGTCAGCTGATGTACCAGTATCTAGCAGCGTGTAGTAAAGAACAATATGTAGTTATCAGCTGACGTACCAGTATCTAGTAGCGTGTAGTAAAGAACAATATTTAGTTGTCAGCTGATGTACCAGTATCTAGTACTGTGTGGTAATGAACAATATTTAGTTGAACACCTTCTACATGAAGCCTTGGGATACAGCGAGGGGCTTCGGCTGAAATGAGGTAGCTTTTGGATGGCACAGACAGAAGTCTGAATCAGAACTGTTTGTGCTACTGACAAGATAGCGCATGGTGTGGGATGGGTTTTAGTGCCACACAATAAAACAAACTTGCAAAAATGATAGTTACCT